TAGAACTCCATATTGGATAAATGTGAACAGTGATACCACACACAACACCAGACAACTATTCAGGCTTATCAGGGAAACAGGTGGTAAAAAGCAAATGATAAGTGAGACAATCTCGGAGAAAAGTGGCACCATAATTAGCTCCCAGGATAGACGACTGGAACGCTGGAAAGAACACTATGAGGAGCAGTTTAATTGGCCTACAGACACACTTAACCTGCCGAACATCCAACACCTCCCTGAATCGGATATAGACACAGGTCCGGCGTCCCTAACTGAGGTTACTAAAGCTGTCACCAATCTGAAGCAAGGCAAAGCAGCGGGACCTGATTTATTGACTCCAGAGGTATTTAAGTACGGTGGAAACAGTTTACTGTCTGCGTTAACTAAGGAACTAGGCAGCGTCTGGGAGTCAGAGGAAGTCCCGTCGGGTCGGTGTGAGTCATTGATTATCCCTATATACAAGAAGGGAGACAAGTCTTCCTGTTATAGTCAGAGAGGGATTGGCTTGACAAATATAGTATCTAAAGTCCTAGGCTCAATAATTATGCGTAGACTAAGTGGTGCTCGGGAGGCACAAACAGGCAGGTTTTAGGCCAGGAAGAGAGTGTATTGATCATATCTTCACCCTCCGACAGATTCTACAACATAGGCATTCCTATCGGCGTCCAACAATCATTATATTTCTTGACCTAAAGGCAGCATTCGATTCTGTAAACCGAGAGGTTCTCTGGCGATGCTTGGCTGTAAAGGGGATGCCAAGAAAATACATTGCACTGATCAATGCACTCACTCCACTCGAACTCATGCAGCCAGGTGAGGGCTTACGGCGAGTTGACATCTGAAGTGGTGACGACTAGTGGCATCCGTCAAGGATGCCCATTATCCCCATTTCTATTCAACTTCATCCTAGAGGTACTAATGGACTTAACCTTAAATGACTTCAGCGACTCAGGGATTGACTTGTTACCAGGAAATAATATTCTCGTTGACTTTGAACATGCAAATGATATAGTCCTTCTAGGTGAGGACGCTGACAAAATGCAGAGTCTTCTGAACACCTTGAGCTGCAATCTACGAATGTTTGGCATGCGATTCGCTCCCTCAAAGTGTAAAATAATGTTACAGGACTGGATTACACTGACTCCTAGATTAGAAATAGGGAGTGAAGTGGTAGAGCACGTTGACCGCTTCACTTACTTGCGAAGTACCATCAACCTCAACGGGTTGATCTCTGACGAAATCTCAGCTCGGATACTGAAGGCTAGTTTCGCATATGCCAGTTTACGCCGTCTCTGGCGTAGACGTGATATCCGACTATCGACCAAAGGGCGTGTGTACTACTCATCAGTCTGCTCCGTCCTCCTTTATGGCTGTGAGACCTGGCCATTGAGAGCGGAAGACATGAAAAGATTAGCTGTCTTTGATCATATGTGCCTGCGTTCTATCTCCCGTGTGAAGTGGTACAATAGGGTGAGCAATACTGAGGTTAGGCATCGGTCGAGTGCTAGGTAAGGAGGGGAAATTACATCGCCTGAGATGGTTAGGACATATATTACGTATGCCTAGTCATCGCCTTCCTCGACGGGCAATGTTAGCTGATATATGGTCAGGCTGGAAAAGAGCCAGCGGCGCTCAAACCAAAACATGTCACCAGTCAATGAAATCTACAACAGTTAGTCTAAGCCACGTAGGAAGGTGTAGACTTCCTGGTTGGGGTCCTCGGGACGGTAAAAACCAATGGTTGGAAACAATTGGTGATATGGCTCAAAATCATCCTTAATAGCGCAGATGCATCCGCTCCTTGTGACTTATGATTTCTAATGAAACTGTTTTGTTCTTCGTTATTACTATTCCTTTGTCTCACACCTCTGTTTTCTGTCTCTAATATGCATTTCTCCTACTTTCTTCTCTTGCTTTGTGTGCTACATGGAGTGTGGCGACTTGAACTGCCGCACATATGTGCAAAGTTCTATGTCGAAAACAGACAGACACAGATACCACATAGTGAGTCAACGACTTAGGTGGCTGTGAAGTGTGATCTAATTTGATTCTTCATTCAGACACATGTGCTACAAATGCTGAACCACCATCTTCCTAAAACAGTAATGTTAGCTGAATGGCACCAAAATAACATCGAACAAGAACTACAATACGAGTTATTTTTCCATTACTCATGCGAACAGTGATCTTTTCAAAGATCCCAGTAAAGACCCAATATCTGCACTTGTCAAATGCAATACATGATAAGTATACTCTGAAAAGTTACCCAATTAATGCAAGCGCAGAAATAACCTGAAAAATAAAACCTGTAAAATCAAATTCATTTCACAGACGCAACAGCATTGATGGAAGTGGTTGATATTTGAACTAATAAGAACTCAGATAGTTTAAGTCGTAACTGTGGGGTGAAGAAAAAGTGACTGTACCACAGACCCATTATTATTCGTAAAGAATCTGAATACATGTAAGGAGAGGTAATCTCTAGAAGAATTCACGCAAAGTCAAAGTATAGCAGGCAATCCAGTACATTACCGACAACAAATTGGATTTACAGGTGGTATAGTAATATTAAATTATGCCTTCCGCTCTGGATTTTCTCAACTGGTTTCAGGAAGATCGAGTGCTTGATTACTGCCTACATAATCAACTGGAGCTATTAAAACAATATAAAAATGGGGTGAAACTTGACAGGATAATGGATCTATTGGGAGGACTGTGATTTTGAGGTAGATTAAAAAAGAATCACAGATGTAAACAGATCCCGAAATAATATGAACCACAGTCATCTTTTCATAAGAATTAAGCAACTTTTTTTGCTCATGAATTGTGATTACTTGCGCAAGATCGGTCGTATGCCCTATCTTCGTGGTGCTTATACATTAACTTCGCCCGAATTCACTTGTATATTCTGTTTATCTGATGATGCAGTGAAATGGTGCAGTGAAAAACCGATACTACCGTCACATTGAGATATCTAAACCAAAGCAATATGCAGTTAAGAACATGCATTGTATTTCTGTCAATGGAAAATCTGGAGGAACCCTGGGAAGATTGTGACGTCAGGAAAAGAATCACAGGGATAAAAAAGAGGGTTGACAGTGCCCTGTAGGGGTGGAAAAAAATATCCAGTGGAGTACCACAGAGAGCTCTTCTGGGCAGCCTGTTATTCCTTTATACACAGACGAACAATATTAGCATCTGGAAAACTAGAATCAATGATGACGACGAGGCAGTTTTATAAGGGAACCTAGAGTGACAAATTAATTCCAGAAAGAGCGCGACAATGCACCTAGATTAGAGGAATAACTTGTTGTACTGGAGATACAGAACCGCTTGATGCTAAGTGATCAGTGAACTAAGGGACTATTGTAAAACATTACTTGTAAACACTAAGCATATTGCATAACAACCTCAGCTATTGTTTTCCGAATGATATACTCACTCTGAAGACGTTCAGATGAGTCTACATTCAGAATATTGTACTCAGATCTCACCTAGAATACCGTATACAAGCAGCGTTTATGCTCCTAGAAGGCAAAAGTCTCCAAAAGAGTGCAGAGTGGGAGTGAAAATTCTCACCTTCCTAATGAGAAGCTGGGAAGTTTAAACCTCTTCTCAATACCATATCATAACAGCAAAGGATGACTTGGATGCTGACATCTCCAACCTTATCTGTTCTTCTCTTGTGGGGTCACCACAAGTGGTTGAAACAGTGGACGAATAAAATGTGTGGAATTCAGATTGTCACATAAGATGGTTAACAACTGGGACTCAATACCTGATTAAATGGTATCAACTCCATCAGATTTCCTGAAGCTTTAGTGAGAATTCGTAACCAGTGGGGTTTACTATGTCAACGTGAAGTGGATACTCATCGAGGCCACTGGTAACGACAGTACTATATCGCGAAATGACGAAGTTGAAATCACCGGACCATAGGATTTCATCCCAAGTTGCAGGAGGGCCAACAAGCTTTGTCTCATAGCCTGAAGGTGCGGATTCAATCTCTGATGAGGTCATGGCTGCACCATGCTAGAGTCCCGAAATAGTACGAGATAACTGTTCAGTGCTCCTTGATCATGAATGATCCAAATGAAAGCATTTAGAACCTATCGCTAGACGCTTCCAAAGAGAAATTGGGTCTGTAGATCTCTGCAGATATGTGTGTATTGCAAGGATTAGCACAGACAACACAAAAGCCTATTAATCGTTGTCTGAATCTAAAACTGCCCTCCCCCCCCCCCTATTCTAGACATCCCAGTAGGGAGTGTTACGGAAATACGGGGATAATTTCGGGGCACTTATGGCGATCCAAGAGATAGTCTTTGGGTATCTAAAGAAAGACGCATCCCCACATGTTGACATCAAGTTGGGGTAAAATTACCTCCAAATTTTTTACTTGGAGGTATGAAAGAATGTAACTGGATCACGGTAACAGTACCTATGATGAATGTACAGCCAAATGAAAAATTTGTGTGAGTAAGAAAGGTTTTAAAATGAAGGAATATTTATTTTCATTTAAAAACAATTTGCATCGAAATGAGTTAGATTGCGAAAAAATTTGCTCTTTGAAGAACAATGTTACTCGAAAGTTAGATATTAACAACCTTCTTGAATACTCGAATTCAAAGTGTAGATGGAATACGTGTGGCAGAGAAGAGAAACAACAGCAACGTTTGAGTAACACCAGAAGCGATAGCATGGATTTCATTGAATGTTATGCCAGTCGCTTTATACACCCCAGCAACTACTATGCCTAGGTTAAAGTCATCATGTAAATACTACATATTTACTTGTAATTAATATGAATGATATTGTGTTTAAAACTCCCATCACAAATATAAAAATAGGAGCGCATATTCTAGCAGATTTATGTGCCCTAAGATTGTAAAATGCAACAAGTAGGGCCACTATATGCACAAAAATGTTGGACGATGCAGCCCATAAGTATATTCTGAATAGAATATCTTAAAATTGTTAAGGGATTCCGTAGAACTTACAAGAAAACGGCACGGATGCAGCAGGAGAAACATCACCAGCAGTCCCAGCGCCACTCATCTTAACAACCCAACATCCCGCTTTAGTAGGACGTCTGACCCGTCATAATTCAAGTGAACAAACAACTAACAGGATTGAGATTAAGTATTTTCCCAGATACGTTCACTAAAACGTGGGCAAAGCCTAATCAACCTTACATTAGAAATAAATTAGCTTGACGCCTGATGGACAGAAGAACCACTGAGATTCTTTGGGAAAATATGACACCAACTCCAACTTCTAAAGTCCAACCCTGACCCTAACCCCATATTGAGACCCATATGGGAAACGAAAATATTACTCAATATATGCCCAGTAACTTATCTAACTAACAAGAGAGGTCTGGTTGTAACTGATTTGTCCAATGTCACATGTGTATGAGTTGACAGCCACACTCCTGGTGTGGGTATCTTTTCAAAAATCAAATTGGTAAATTAAATTGAATAGAGTTTACAGTGCCTGGGGAAACTGCCCAAAAGCACCTATTACTAAGCCTTTCCTAAGTATACCATTCGGGAAGGAACATAGACAATCAGACGCTTTATCAATGGAGAATTCTGTCGTTGTAACTTAATACGTGTATACTTAAACGACTGGTTCATCAAAATTCCAGATAAGGAAACTCGCCTTTGACAACTTACAGTTTGTCAGCATAATTATTCACAAGTGTTGAACAGGAGGAGAATTACCTGAGTTTCTTGATCATACCATACACCCAAGATTATCCACCCATTGTCTGGGAGGTTGTGTGCATCCGAAAACCATGGAACGTCTTCGCACTTTTGATAGCCCAGCAAGTTGTTACAGATGGCATACTCCTGATTGCGCCTTTATAATACGACTACTGACACGCTATCACCCACGGAATTCCAAGTGCGTTAATGTCGACGCATCCCCTAATAACTCCTTTGCTAAAACCAAAAAGACCATGGCAGATGCCACCTTATTTGTGTATCAGAACCCAACAGCACGTGCAAGTATATTTGTAAATATATCCGATGATGTCATCAATCCAGTCTTACAACAACCATCCTTTTTTCGTGAGGCAGCTGCAGCCCAGGAAAAATCAAAGCGTAGTGGCTTCAGCAGGTGGCTTCTAGTTGTGTATCGTGCTGCACGTTGCACTCGACACTGTCCCAGATGCCAGGCGCAACATCAGAGATACGTCCACTAAGGGAATTGTACCATCTAGACTACATTTCAGAGTATACTCCAAATATATGCTGCCTATCTGGGGCCACTAATACTGTGGCATATACCACGTCGCAAATCTGCTGTTTCTCCTAAATCCTATATTTAGAGTTCCTGAACCTGGATCGTCTCTCAGAGGACGACAGTCAGCCTCAACGCTTCTGGAACCTCAAGAGAGACCATATGGCATGTTTAGGATGACAATATTTTGTGAGTTTTCTACGCACACTCCTAGCAGTGATGTGTCTGAAGGTTGCTGACTACTCAGAAACCGATTTTTCTATCAAAATAATCACTCATACTCTCCACCAATAGCTAGTTATATTGTGAAAGACTAGTGGTTTTTTAAATTTAATATTCCCAAAGCACAGAAGGGAGTGACTGAAGCGGGAAGCCTAGTCAAACACATGGAAGTGCAATCATCATCCATTACATAAAGGAACACTCACAAATCACAAAGAGGACACGGTTACTCGTTTTGTCCTTCAGATTTCCTTAATCACTTACTACATCAGAGTGGCTGTAGCATACTGTGTTACAGTAGCCCTACAACATGAGGTCTTCAGTACGTTACATGACTTGTCTCGTCCAACTACCATCCTCGGCCTGGAATAAATGAATGATCAAGGCACTGTGCTCCTGCGTACACTTTTTGCTGAAGGTGCGTGGTAATAATGTACTCTATTTACTTTCGACGCCCACTCCTACCATGTTACTGCAGATCTGAGTGAGCTCCCTCCAAAGTTCTACAGATACTCTTATGTTAACTTGTGTCGACCATAATACTTAACGGCCTGAGGCAGCACCTCACAAGAAATCACCTGCTGGAATGGTTCTATGAGTTTTTGTGGAGAGATAGATTGCAAATTTTAGGTGCCATCTTTTAATAATTTATATATTTCCTATCAATGTAGGACACACCAGTTGTACAGGCATGGATAAGTATTATTTAAATTACATGAATTTGATTTATGGTGAAATTACATGGTTGCTCTCCTCTCTGACATCAGTTAGTGAGTACACGAGATTCTTCCATGGAAACTGTCTTAAACACATTAGTCCACTTCTAGCTTGAATCGACGCCCACGTTTAGGGCAGAGGGTTTCACACGAAGCCTAACTGCGTTTGTTAAATTTGGACCATGACGATCACTGGGGTGTGGACAGTGGTAACTCTAGATCCACTGTTGTTCCTCGTCTTCTCAAATCATCCCCTGCTAACCTAAGCCTTGCATTACTTCAGTCCGCAGGTGATATGAAACATGGATGGCCTTATGCAACATCGAAGATTCGACTAAGCTGAAAGAAGATCGAATCAAGCTGGAGAAATGGAATATGGACCAGCATCCAAACATTGGCAAATGTCGATGTTCATGTGCACGCCAGAAGAATGGTTTTCGTACCGATTATACGGAAGTGGCCTCCCCCATAATTAGAAGGAATGCAATTTAGAATCACTCTGGATGTACATACCAGACACAAAAGCCAACTGACTAGACATAAAAGTAAAAATTTTCATGAACGATAAAGACAACTGCGTCTGCATGCCCTTAGCCATCACGGAAAGAGAAGGGAGACCTCATTACGACACACAAAATGTTTCACCGTCTGCACTACCTGATCCGGGACCTAAAGAAGGAAAAACATTACAGTTTCCCTCAGAGTAACCCTTAGAGAATTACCCATAGATCGGTAGAAACAAATGTAAGGGTTAATGTTTTTCTCTTGCTTTTGTCACTTATGAAATTCAAGGCCCACATACGCAGAAACTCCTCCAAAATGCTAAAGCATCGAGACATAGGTAAACCATTATTCCGAAAGAGTATTTGTTACGGGAAGACAGAATATGACTACACAATGGTGGATATTATTCAATGACGACTGCGGTCCGTGGGTTCACAAGAAGTGCACCACCCTAACCGCCGCAGCTTGTGACAGGACAGTGACATGTCATGAGGCGGAGAAATCTAAGTTTTCAGACCGAGGGGCCATGTTTCAACGTGATTCCAGTCTATCCAAACTAATTTTAGCCAAGCTGCATTCTACTATAGCTGTAGAAAGAGCCTTCATAATCTAAACAGAATAGCCTGAATAGTTGACTTTACAGTGAATCACTCGGGTGCCTTCTCACAATAACACCAAATTCATAAAGTGCTAGGGAATCAACTTGGTAAACTTCTGACATTGTCAAGAGACTTGGCACGTTTGTCTCTGAAGATCTGTGACTAGTAGACAGGATCGAAGCTAAACGGCGCCGCAGAGACAGTAGAAACTGTCGTTAGTGGTCTCCAAAGTTTGATGACTGCCAAACATCTGTTGGTAGAACACGGAAGTATCAAGACGAACTAACAGTCTGCTACAGTTATTTCGCATTCTGTTGAATAAATGGGTTCATCTCGGTGTGACTGACTCTGAAAACCGAGAACTCATTGCCATTTTGAAGTTGTGAATAAAGTGAGAAGCAAGTAGTAATGAAGTTAACCTCCACAGGCTTACAAAGCATAGGGCATATCATCTGCACTACAGAGCAGGCGCAGTAGATATCTTTCCAAAGAAATACCTAGCACAGAAGCTCTCTGAAATCACAGCATGGTATGTACGCCACTTAACATCACAGAAGGTGGCACACGCTGGTTAGTAGATATGGTTGAGGTCACGAATACGAATCATTCCAGTCTTTGTGACAGAAATACCCACGTTTGACAGCCCAAGATTTAAACATGTGCCTAGGTTCAAATCTTTAAAAAACAGAAGTGATTGTTTAGATCTACATAATAAATAATGCCTCTGCTCCTAACACCTGCAAATCTGTTCGGGTTCTTGCCACGATGTAATCCAGTGGAAGTGACCTTAGTGCACATCCCCTTTAATTGTAGCCTCTTGGTCCCTTGTTAAGGTGGCTTCATAACGAGTTATATTTCATGTGTGCTCTTCGAATGAAATTCGGTACTAAAACGTTTTTGAAGTATGTATTATCGGTGGCGCCACATTCTTGAACTGCTTTACATTTGCTGCACTAGTATCAGAAAATGTGACTTGATACTAACATCTGAGCAGTGTAATGATTCAAAGAGTGGTGATTTTGGAAGCTGAATGTATATTATTCAGTCTTCACAAAATCATGCTGATATATTTGGCGTATTTATTGAATCGCCCTAACACACCGGATAAAGGTGGCACCATTTCAAAAATGGGATACGCTACCTAGTCGCCCACCCAGTGGGCCCTACACACACTCTTCAGACATCTTACGAATTAGCATGTTCCCCATATTTTACTTGTTTGCATCTCCAAGGCCACAACTGGCTAGAATGTGTCTTATATACTTCACAACACTTATCACCTGAGCATCATTATGTTCTGGTGTATCTTATCTGCCCAAACTCGTAGTAGAGCTAAAATTTGCTCGCATCATTCCCACTTCCTCCCCTCTTAGATTCTGGTTGTGCTGAGGAAAAATCAAACATGTGGTTTGGGGAAATATATATTCCCATCAAAACATCATAGCTGGCGTATTAAGATCAATATTCTCGCCATTACACACTATAAATGTGCAATATGATTTCACTGACTGCATGGCGGCTGTTTGCAAATCTCCCGTGAAATTTTTTAGCGATACATTGCCCTTACTTGTATTTTGTTCCACTTCTCAGTTTTGTAGAACTTCTCTCTCTTAAGCGGCTTTCGGTCACGTGTGGACAAAGTGCATACCAGTGCAATGATCGCACACCAGTTTACTAAAATCACTGACAGAAAACGGAACAACTTTCAGTCTGCCGCTTAACCTTAGTGACGACCTTGATAACGGCTTTAAAATTTATCGTTTATGTG